CTTTTTTATAAATTAAATACTGTTTCAATCTTACAAACCACACTTTACAATCGTTTCATGATTCCTATATTTTAAATCTAGAACAGACCACCATGACCACCTGATTTGGTCCCTTCCTAACATAGACTGAAGAATCACTCTTGGGCTTTAAAACTTCTGTGTCTTCTTTGCTATACACCCATTAGCTGCCAGAGCATGACTGAAAAAAAAAAGATATTTAAAATAGAAATAGGAAGAGAGGACAATCAAAGGCACTATTTATTTAAATTTCACAGCAACTAAATTCCTGATCCTTGCAATAGTCCTGCCTTGACTTCTACCTGACCAGCATTATGGTCCTTCCTTCATTGCTGAGATCAAGGCACATACGGTTGAGGGCATATCATATTTTATTTAAACACACTGCAGAAGGACATTAGATTTTACAGGTCAGATTCTCCATGGTGCTTGAGCAAAGCTGAGGCTGCAGGGAACAGCAAAAAGCCAGATCACGAGAGCTGCCAAGGTGCAGCTTCCCTTTATCTGCCCAGTATAAACATCCTCAGCCTTGCTATGGTCAGACAGGTCGCTCAGCCCAACACAACTTCTCTCCACATGGATTTTAGAGGGATGATAGCTCACAGGGGCTATGGCCTTGATCAGCACCATTTTTTAATAGTTTTGAGTCTTGCAGTGAGACAAAGTCCCATGTACAAAGAGTCACAAAATGGGATGGCAGCTCTACCAGCCTTCATCAGGTTTTTACCCCGCATTGGGAGCTCCTTTGCAGAGACGAAGGTCCCCACTTGCCATTCAGAGGCACTCTCAAGACACCTCATACCTAAACACTGTAATTGCACATAAAGTTACTAAAGCAAGTTTCAGTGAGTCAACCTGAGAGTAGCAGCGTACAAAACCATAACCATTTACCCTTTCTGGCCACATCATATTAGACCTGCACCTTACCAGCGGTAACCAACCATATATTTCAACCATAACTACAAACCTAAATATGACATGAGGTCCTGAGTCATCCCACCTAAGGCACCCGAGATGGCTGCATCCAGAGTAAAGTCTCCCCATTGCACGGTGAGAAAAGACATCTCCCGTGGATGGTACGGCCCTGAGAACACATATGACCCTGGGCATCAGCACCTGTATTTTCAGCAGCGCAGCAATGAGCCTTTGCTGACAGGAGAAGCTCAGCTCTCTCTGCTGCAGACAGACAAACAACACTGATGCACAGATAGGTAAATGGTAGGAAGATCAGCTTCATCTCATCCGGGGCTAACTTTCAGCCATATAATGAAATAAAAATATCTTGGGGACCTTAGACAAGGTGGTTTTTGTTCTAGCAACCCCACCTTCTCCTCTAGGCTCCATGTGGGCTGTGGGCTTAATCTCATCCTCCTGTAAAGACACTGGCAGGAGCAGGGCCACCCTTAACTCCATCGACTGCTCCATGGCTGCACGCTTCAGGCAAAGCGGCATTCAGCTGTGTACGCCTATTAGGGCTCTAATACTGGAACCAGAAGTGCAACAGACAACCAAGGTAATTTAATCTAGCAAGATAATTCACTTTCAGTATTACCCCCCATCTCCTCCCACTGCCTCAAATGAATCTGTGACAAGTGCCCAGCCTTTTCCTAATGGAAAGGGAATTGTGTGCCTATTATCTTTACCTTTCACTCCATACGAGCTGTAGAAATGTCTGTACCCAAATCTGAGCTTATCGATATCGCTGTGAGCAGGGATGGCTTCTACAGAAGTAACTACGTTACTAGTACTGTAAAGCAGGACAGAGATCTGAATTGGGCAGTTGTTACTTAATGCAACTCTCTGAAGTCAGATTTAACCTTCTGGATGTTATTTCTTGTTGCTGCTGCCATTGGTTACTGAAAGCATGAAGTTCAATGCACCAACCCACACAAGATGAAAGCCTCTCCTCCATTCCCCCCCTGTCCCCACCCTGCTTCCTTGCAAGGCTTGTATATAAGATAAACACAAAACAGTTCCCTTAGCTGTAGTGACCTGACACACAAAAATCAGCAAAATTCCCTCACCCCAAGATTTTCTCACCTTTCATCCCTTCTGTAAACTATTTTTCAGAGCAGATACTTCTTTTAATTACTCCCTGTCCCTGCCCGCAAAGAAGATGTCTTCCGCTATGCAAGTATGTAGGCTCTTTCTTGAAAGTCAGGATGCGATATAGATTATTAAATCCTACTCATAAGACTGTCCTTTGCTCTGGAAGTTTTCCATTCACTATTTCTTACATTGAAAGTAAGTCTATACCTACACACACATGCAGTTGTGTAAGCCTGATGTGCAGTTGCCTATCCACTCCTCATCTGAAGAGTTGCCAGCACTTCAGTGGAATCAGGTTGGGGAAATCAACTATATCCCCTCCTTTGCACGAGGGATAATGCACAGTGTCTCACACCCACCCTGAGGCCAAAATCATTAATTTCTAATAATGGCAGTGTTTCACTAGATCTCCTCCATAACTCTTAACTGGGCACTTGTATGTGGTCTTACCAGCGACAGATGCGGTTGCTTAGCTCTCGCCCAGTTGGTTCACTGCCAGCGATCCACAGGCCAGGCAATTTGGGGAAGCGTTGTATGTTGTGAAGTGCCAGAAGAAGGGAAGGAAATCAGAGTCTGACCATGCACTTTTGCCACGCAAATGTTAGTGTATGTAAAGAACCTAAACTTCGCCTCCCGCCGCTTCTTGCTCTACCAAGGGCAGGACACAGCTCACGGCAGCAGTCACCTTGCTTGTACGCTTTCCAGGGCTCCACCTTTCCCAACACTCAGGTTATGCAGCTGAGCTGTCTGTACATCACCCAAGCTCTTTTGGGTCACTAACACCACGTCACTGATGTCATCACTGCAACGATCCACCCTGAAGCACAACGCGGTGATTGTTTCCCCGACTCGCATTCACAGTGCATTTGTTCCAGTAGGCTTGAAAATGAGGGGATGAGGCAGGCTAGGTTTTCCTGCTCAGTAGGTTTTTGCTCCGATCTAATTAAAAACATTCAGCAATTCACTGAAGTTACTTGCAAACTGCACATGTCCCATGCTTTAAAATAAGCTCTTCAAGCAAACAGCTTGGTATTTTTGATTTTTAAATGCATTCCCCAGATGGAGAGGATTCCTCAGAAATTCCTTTGTGATACGCTACCAAAGCTAGAAAAGTTGAGCTGCTTCAGAACTATCTTGGTTTTGTTGTTATTGTTAATGGCTTTTTTCCTCCTCTAAAAGCTAACAAGGAAAGCCACTCTTGGTTCTCTGACATGCAGAGAAGTGACAGTACAGCTCACTGGAAACAGGCAGCTCTGGTCACCTTGGTCTGAAACTGGGTCAGGGATGCCAGCCTGTGGTTATATCCAAGGAATATGCAAGTAATATTGGGGATTCAGAAGCTGAGGATGAGACCACACTTTTCTTGCAGGCAGAACTCAGCTAATTCAGCTTTAGCGCTCTGATGGAAGGCAGCCTCCCCACAACTAAGGCCCGTTCTACGTACAGTTTTTTTTTCAAAGGCCCCTATTTCTGGGAAGCGTGTCAGCGGACTACGCCAACAGTCAAGCCAAGTCCCACACTGCTGTACCCCCTTAGTTTAAAGGCAAGCCACCGCTGGGAGATGGCCACCACTGTGCATTACGGTGATGCTTGTGGGAAAAGGTGCGTAGACGGAAAGTCAATCCAGCTCCAAACAGTGTTAAGACCGCTGGAGAAATTCAGTGGGAAAGACCACATAGATGGAATGTGGAATGCTTGTAACGTCACCCCCGACACTGAAAACAGACCTTTTGCCTGCCAAGAGTCACTCCGAAGGGGAGAACTGCAGCACAGCGTGGTGCACATGAAAAGCCTGTGAGCACGTGAGGAAGGCTCTTGCACCAAACAAATGCTAAAGGATCCTCCGGACCAGCTAGCTGTCACACCACCAACTCCCAAATTCAGCCTTTCTCAGGAATAGTCCCTAAATGCCTCAAAAAATGCCTGTCCTCATCTCCAAAAGCAGAGTGCCCTTAAGCTGTACAGCTGAGAACAAATTCCTTCAGGGTTGTAACAACCAATTAAGGGATATGAAGCAATTACTTTTATACCCATACAAATGAAACTCCTCCAATGCAATTAACTATCCCTTATCATCTACTGTTGAATTTGCGGAAAGCAGATGCTGTACACTCCTCTCCTCTCCTAGCTTTTCCACAATTTTAATCAGTTTGTTTTAGCTAATGTAATGGAACTCACCTATTCTAGAAAAATAATATATAGCTGCAAATTATCTGAGTATTTTTAAATGTCTTTTTTCATTTAAAATATAATTTCATTTGAGATTTTGCAGCTTTCATTTCTATTAATAAATTATCACTTCTTCTTTATAAGTGATGAGCTACTGTGTCATGTAATTTCTTTCCTCTAAATAGACCAAGACTTTGATCTAATGCAAGCCCTTGCTGGGAGTAGAGAGACTTTCTGTCTAATTTAGTTACGAAAAATATTCAATTAAACTTGGGAGTTTAATTCATTTAGTTATGAAAATTAAATGAGCTCAATAAGGTACATTTGATTTGCCTCAGGAAAAAAAAAAGAGAAGAATCTCTTTCTGAAAGGGGAACAAATAAGAAGGGAGAACAAAAGTAACTTTTACTATTCATGTTGAAAGGTGTGTAACACGATGAGCCTGAGTTCTGTTTTGTGTGCCTATATAAAACATATCCACAGTGAATCCATGCAAAATTTATATTCAGAAGCCACATCATTATCTGGTATTAACACCCTAATTGTCTCCTGGGTAACAAAACTCCCTGTAGGTCATAATCAAGTCCATCACAGACAAGGGAAGATCTGGGTTCTCACACTGGGAAGACACCGCCCACAGAACACTCTTCCCCACCTCCATTTGGGGAAAAATGAAAATATTGCCATTATTTTTCAAAACGAGGACAGAGCACCGTGGGTCTCTCTGGCAGAAGCCCCCTTTCAGTTTTGCAGCCATCACTCACCATTTTTGCAGATAGGACAGCACTGATCGGGCTCATACACCGGGTCCACGCACTCCGTCTGGGGACAAGCTGAGACAGTGCACAGCACTTCTCCATTGGCTTCACAGCGACACTTCTCGCACGGAGAAACCTGGAACACAAACCCAGCCATCTTTTAACTCTTTCAATTAATGCCCTCCTGAAGAGTGCATGCCTACCTTCCCGCCTGCATTCTTCTTTCCTTCACCTCTTTTTCCTCCCCCCTTTAAAACAATGCTTTTTGTGGTCTGAATAATGCAGAGCGCGAAGGTGGGCTCCTGCAAAATTACAGAACCGCACCAGAAAAACACACGGGTTCTGCTCTGAACCTGTGCCCCAAACGGGAAAGTCAAAGGGATCTTGGGAACAAGAACACTTTAGACTTTTAACACAAATAAAGCAAAAATTTCCCTACGATATTTCTAATGAACTTTCAGCAATTTAAGTTCAAAATTTAGACAAAACCTGGTTTGATCCTACTTGAGGTTCAAAAAATAATTTAGCAAAAATGCTGTATTTGAAGAAGAAAAATATTTGCTAAATGAAATATGAACCTTCTTTTAATGGAAATCCTTACTGCAATTTTTCCAGGTTTGAAAGCTTTTTGGTAGCAGTAAGTTGCATTTTATTGAGAATTATAATTTTTAAAGAGAAACAGGAAAAAACCCATCCTCTGAATTCAGGTATTTCCCATATGTTAATTGTATCTGGGCCATTCTTGTAATACCGGTAACTTTCTGAAAAGAAATTGCAATTCAAAGAAAGGGGTGAAGCAAAATACAGGTCATCTTCTTTATCTTCTGAAATGTTACTGGTTTTAAAGAACTCTACAAAATAGGAGTACCATGAGATAATTACTTGAATGACCTACTTCAAAGAAATTAATTCCAAACAAAACAGCAAGGCCCTATTTAGGAAAAAAAAAATGGACTTTCAAATATCTGCATTTTTCACATGTACAGTTCCAGCTGTCCTCTTCAGTGTTCCCGAGCAGGCACGGCACGCTGCAACGCTGATGTCTGCGTACCACACAAGGAACTGGAGGTAGAGGGAAACAAGGATGCTAAAGAGCAATAAATGGTACACTGTAAATCTCATTGCTGTACTCCAAAAACAACCACAGTGGCATCCATGCTCAGAGCGCAAGGTGAAAATGCAGCTGAATGGTATTACCAGTGATCCTCTAAATTGATAATCTGTGCAGATTCTAGGTTTACTTAAGGATGTAAGGATGTAAAGTAAACCTAGAATTTTTATATAGACCCTTTTTCATTCCAGATTCCATCTGATGCCAAACAATCACCTGCTGCATTTCTCCAATAAAAGCAGACTAAACTCAAATCTAAACCAAATTATTCCTTGTGAAGAATCATCCAGACGTCTAACTTGCAGATCATCTGGTTTCTTCTCTCTATTTCTCAGGCAGCCCATCACATTTTCCTCAAATCCATTCTCTACTTGCTTGCCTCTTTTACATCCTTCTCAATTCCGAAGTTCAAACATGCTGATGCTTGCACAGCATTCACCTCCAACTAAATGCTCATCCATGCTTTGCCACTTCTCTTCCCACCTGCCAGGGTTGTTATTTGCTTATGCACTACATACCTTTCACATCATCCCCTCTGCTTAGAAAGCCTAAACAGGGTCTCTTGCTGTGTTGCTTTCGGCTTTTATTACTATTATTTATTTTAGGCTTCTTTTGCTAGCTACTCCCTTCCAGTTTTCTCTTTGCTTTGCACTCCACCAAGGATAACACCACACCAGACATTTGGAAAGTGCTACAAGGAGGCTGACAGCCCAGTACTGCAGATATTTATTCCAGGCTTTGAGACAAGAACTTTGCCCTGTAATTGTTTATAAACTGCCACATTCGCTTGCAGAGCCAGAGTGTCAGCAGATGTTTCTGATCCAGTGTTCAGTAAAGAGGCTCAGGTATTCCAGGCAATCACTTGAACTGCACGTGAAATTTTGAGTTGTCAGCAAACCTGAGATTCTAACAATCTGCAAGTCAATAGTAAGAATCCTTCCCTCTGGAGTTATATCCAGAAGCAACACTTACTAAATTATAAAAACATGCTTTAGAAGGAGGACTGATTTTTTATTTACTATTATTTTTAAGGAATCTTACTTGATCAAAGCTACCAGAACTTAATTCCAAGGATCAGGCTTAACAAGGCAAACCTATAGCTTTCAATCAGTTTTAATATTTTTTGCCAAGACTTTAAAAAGATGCAAATTTGCCAATCATCACAGTTCAATGAGACCAGTAACTACAACAACAGATATTCTCTCTCCCAGGACACTGCTTAGTAGCTGTGCTGTTCAATATTAGAAGTGATGTAAAAACTAGAGTATCTGAATGATAATCAGGAAACAAGGCAGCACACAGATGTTATTCCTAAAATCTCTCATCTGTAAATTTTAAACATATTCTAATTAAGTAGGTTGTTTACTAGAATTCCAAATTTGACAGATGCCTAAAATTCTTAGAACGAGAAGCCATTTAATGAAGCACCAAAAATACTACTGAATGAGAAACAAAATTGATCTAATCTTCATCTAATAATGATGACTCAGAATAATGCATTTCCATCCTGTACAGCACATACACTTGCAGGCTGCATCTTTCATGAACAAAGTACACAGTTAATGCATAATGCCCTTCATGTGTATTCATGGGATTTCAGGGGAATACATTTAGTACACCTTTAATAATTACTGTCATCTGCACAGCCCAGCAATATGAGTAATGGTAGCAGAGTTAAGGAAGGTCTCCATGTGTTTATTTCTTTTCAGGCATGTAAGTGAACCCCCGCGGCTACCAAAATTGTATTAGTGTCAACCTTTGTTCATCTTTGGACTAAACAGTAGTGCCTTGCTTTTTGTCTACCATCAGGATGTAAAAGGAACTGTAGAAAAACTCCACTTCTTTCCATATCTTAATGGCAACCTAATACTCGGAAACATAATCATCACCAGAGAAAGACAGTAACACAGTGTGTAATGTAGCAACAGCTGAACAAATTGGAATAAACACATTCGATCCTTCATTTCCTCTCTTCTCCTCTTACAACGTAAACCCATTCCCATCAGCACAGTTCCTAGCGGCAGCCAATGCACTGAGCATCCTGTTTGTTTGCCCGGGAAACGACCAGCCCAGCAGCACTCAGGCTTAGCACATCTGACATAACCAGGCTGGACTGGAAACAATACCGCCTACCAACCGCTCTCTGAAGACTAATGATACTGCATCCCTGTGGTCTACAGACGAGGCTATTAACTCTACAGCAGCAGTAGTTCTGCCTATGCAAACACTGTGGGAAGACAAGAAGAGGAACAGAAGTTCTACGAATTCACCAGGCAGCCGTAAAACCTGTAGAAAGTCAAGTACAGATGGAAAACAAACAAACCAAACAAACCAACTTCTTTAGAATTGTTTAAAGGGAAGTTTACAAGCAGATGTATAAATGGAGTTGCAGATGTTGTAAAAACAGCACACACACCATTGTGTAAACAGGTAGATTTCCCACTACTGGGGCATGAAGAAAACTGTAGCTTAGTAAGGGTAGTAGGTTTATCCAGCAACTTAGTGTAAACTGTCAATTAAGAAGTAACAAATCATTTGCTCTCATTGAAGTTCTGGTCCCAAGTAACTTGAGCTTTCTCTTCCCCCTTTCTACTTGCCAAACTTTAATAAAGAAAACAAACACAAACACATTAAACCAATAAAAAATCTGAATTAAAAAAATATATATAAACTACATTTGGTTCCTTGAATCTTGAAAAAATCTTAAGTTAAAAAAAAGACAAGCAAACAAAAAAACCCAACCCAAATCATAATCCCAAATTTATTTGCTATTGCGCTGTATTTTTAATTAGTATTTTCTTGCCACTTACACAACTCGGGAGAACATGAATGGGGTTAGGCTGACAAGAATAAACATACCAGCCCTGGTTTTACTTCTTTGTGCCTTCAAAATACCACAGATGTTCCATAATCCATTTGGGTTTATTGACTTCCAGATTTCCAAGTAACTTATTCACAAATAAATAAAATCTTTGGTAGCAGAGAAATTATAAAGACAACAGACGAAGCAACAGCTTTCAGAAACGTAGGTCGTTCCCAAACGCTACACTTCTGAAGATAATTGATGGCTCTTGTAAGGCTACGACTTTGTAAGTCAGCCTGCCTTTTCCAATCTTACTGTAAGACTGCAAAAACATCTACTGGAGCATGTGCGCAGCCACTTCCAGCGCAGAATCCTATCCTCGCTGCATTTCACCAATTAAGGCTTTTGTTCCCAGTTCCACTCGTACAGATACAGTGATCCCTCTGCCATCCTGCCTCCCGATACCCACAGAGGAATAGAGTGGTGCTGATGGAGAGACCTCATCCTTCCTCCACACCAGTGCTGCGTTTTGTGTCGACAGCCATCTCCTTTTCAAAAACCACGTGCATACGCACACACAGGTGAGGCCTGCAGGAAGGACCATGAATGGAAGAAGAAATGCATCGAACCTCCCATTCCCAGGCACATTCAGCTTCCAGGTTAGCACTGCCTCTGGTCAGGGCAATTTTTTGCCATGTCAAGCCACATTATGAATTCTGTATAAGCAAGCTCCCAAACTTGCATGGATGCTGACACTTCTATACGTAAATGATTGTGCAGAGAATGTCGCCTAGGAGGTCAGCTTTTTCTTCCTTCAGTGATGTCTAGTACTCTTTGCCACAAATAAATACTAGGTGTAGACGCAGAAAAAAAATCACATCCCTATCCGTTTGTCACTCCTTCCCCGACCTTAATCAAGACATAGCATATTAGTAACCTCTATAAGGTCATCAACTTTAAACTCGTAAAATGATGTTCGAAATCTTTAAACTTGTAAAATGACCTCTGACACCATGTGCACTTACTTGCATTGGGAATTGCTTGCACTGAGAGTGGCAATCTGACAACATCTGTACCCTTCCTCGCCAGACATCTCCACAATGGGCAAACAGCTGCATTCACTGTTTTGTGCCCACAGTACCAGAACCAGCGCTGAAGCTCAACTGAAAACCAAGGTCCACACACATCAAAATAAACGGGCTGTAGTTCCACCGCCTAACTGCGTCAGTAACTTCCCTCGCGCATCCCGAGCAGGCATCCCTTCTCACTCCTGTTCCCGAAGCTGGCTAACACAAAGAGGTAAGGGAACCTACGTTTTGTTACAGGCAGGTATCCACACAAGGGCTGAAGGCTGAATGGGGTTATAAAAAAAAAAGCTGAAGGCCAAAGTCTTTCCAGAATATTTCTGTAAATGTCACAGTTCAGCACTCCCTTTTTACCAAGGCTGCCAGCCATGTTCACATGCAATAGGGAGCCCTAAGGTTTTATTTTCTCACAACACGCTTAACACTGTAAGGTATTTTAAGGCTTGCTTTACAGCCATTAACAGGACACCACTACATAAAAAGACAAAGAAATGCAACTCGTTAGAAGAGTGTGAATGAAGAGCGAGGAGACGCCTTTAAAACTCTGACCCACGGAGAACGTGTGCAGAAGCATCACTGGTTTGGCCACCCCTCATAATTAACTTCAGTGGCAAAGGAAGGATCTCACAATCCAGCTCTGAAAAGGTCAGACCAACTAGCTGCTGTTAAAAGTACCTTCTCCCTCTTCAAGTGGAAAACTGCCACCCCGAAGCTGAATGCGATCCTTGAGGGCGACACTGAAAAAGGGAGGACGATACAATACTTTCTGCCATGCTTCAAAATCCACTAGTGCTCTACACATTACTGCCTAAAGGGAGCAAGGGGAAAACACTGTGATTTATTCTGGAGAAAGCAATTCAACTCCTTTATTTATTTTTCAGTAAGTTGAAGAATACAGAAAGACATTATGAATCGAAGTTTAAGTTTCCAGGAACACACAAGTACCACAGACAGCAGAGGTGGCAACTTACTTACTGCCTTTACAAATACATTTTCTTTTTCTCCATCCTGAGAGGGGCTCAACCTTCCAGAACCCAGAACTTGATTTCATACTTCCCTCAACAGCTCAAAAAGAATCTCTGCTCTGTTCAGAAACAGGTTTTGGACCAGCCCTGCATCTAAGAGTTACTCACATGCAAATTCTTAGAGGCTGCTTGCAGATCTCAGCCACAATAAAACACTAAAAGGAAAAAGGCAAGGTAAGTAACTGGGAAATTGGCCCCAACTCCAGAACTTTTCACTGCTCTGTAGTTAAACTGCATTTTCAGTGACGATGACCTTGTAGGATAATGCTAAAAAGGCCCCTGTCTAAAAGGATTTCCCTAAACATAAAGCTTTCTGAGTCCCCTGCTCAGGTATCACTGTGAACCAGATTGCGAACCACGTTCTTATTAAAAAGAAGACCCACAGTCACTCTCCAATAGCAAATATTATGCAACCTTGGCAGCATAGTTCAGAGGGTTAAAAAGGAAAAGAGAGATGACTGTTAGGAAAAAGTTACCATCACAGACTGATTACTAGGAACAGAAGCCAGCCCATAAAACCCTCCTCGATCCCTGCAGGGCAGAAGTTTCAAAGTTAACAGTTAAATAAGGAAACAAAGGTATTGCCGAAAATTTTCATAAAATCCACGCCACTGCCGAGCAGCATCCTTTCAAGTAGCACTTTTTAATGTAAATACCAAAGGAATTAATAAAGATCAGCCCCCTCACTTAAAAATGTTACAGTACCACAGAGCAAGAAAGGTCATGTTTGAGGGGAATATTTTACAGCCCCGCAGAAGTAGTGTCAACACTGAAACGAAAAGCGGAGGGGAAGACCCAGAACGGCCCCTGAAAGACCACTTTAAAGAAGAGAAGGACCCACCAAACGCCCTTGGGGCCTTACCATGAACTCCTCTAGGGTCTGGTAGGTCTTCCCTCGAAACTCGCAGTAGTTCTTCCTCTCCTTGCACTGCGGGCAGCACTGCGTGGTGTCCACATGGACGCAGCGAGGGTGGAGCCTGGGGCACTCGGGCTGTATGCACAGTGGGCCCTCTTCAGTGCAGAGGCAGGGGCAGGCGGAGGGGCCCGGCGCAAACTTCTCCCCGATGGCGTAGACGAAGCCGCTCTCGTCCACGCAGCCTTTCCCACGGTAGTCCGGGTAGGCGTACTCCTCCGGAGGCTCGGGGGTGACGCTCGCAACAGCTTCTGGGAGAGACGGATCTTCAGCCACCTGAGGTTCCTCGGCAGCGGCGTCCCTTTGCTCTTGCACTTGAATGCTCCCGGATTTACTGCTCGTCCCCTGGCTGTTCCACGCCTGCTTTTGCTTAGTCCAAGACTCCTTGTTCGAGTAGTTCCTGTTTCCTTTGCTCTTCCAGTCCCTGCCACCCTCCTCCCTCCTGCTCCTGCCGATCTCATTCATTTTCCCCGGGCCTGCCTGGCTGTCCCTTGTAGACGTGTGATCCCTCTTTTCCTGGCTCGCCTTTATCTCCTGTTTGTCTTGAGCCTTGGCCAGTTTTTGTACAGGTATGGTGGAGCTACAGAGGGCAACCATGAGGCAGCAGGTTACGAGAAGAGAACTCGAGAGAGCTCCAATTGCCATTGCAGTAGAGCTGGGCATCACCTACTGCATCCCACAGGGGACACTGCATTCACATCGGAGGGAAGCGTTTCACGGATCCACGGTCCCTAGAAGAGAAGGATTAGGAACGCTTCAGCTTCTGCACCTCTCTCCCCCACCCCCCCAATCCTCCCCCGATGCAACATCTCAAACAATATGCAACCTGTCTCGGTAGTTTATGCAAAAGGCAAACCACAGCCTGGTGCTGCATCCCTCCCTCCTCCTCCCTCGCTCTGCCAAGTCTTATAAATAGCAGGGCTCTGGACACGGACCGGGCATCTTCGGCTCCCCGGGAGCACCAGGCACAACTCCGGGGAGTTAGGGCTGGCGAAGGCGGGTGCATGCAAAACCCACACCACCTGGGGGTTATTTTTCCTTTCGAACGACACCACGTGAAGAGGACGGACGCACGCGGAATTTAATGGAGCTCCCCAAAAGACAGCAGAGGACCAGAAATCACCCAACTGACTCCTATCCGCTGCCTGCACGCACGACGATTTTCATCATTAACCTCTCATTTGGCCTGAAGTGCGATGTTGTAGGGTTTTTTTTAAACACCTGCCGGTGAGCACATTTCCGTCAAATCCAACTAAACCCAAGCACGTTAAAGCGAGCAGAGCCCAACTACCTCTCTTCCCAACTACCTGTCTCCCCGCGCTTTAAAAGGCAAAGCGGAGCCGTTCGGAGTTCCCGCAGCAGAGGCTCATCGAACCCGCATCCTCCGGGAGTTCCGCAACGCTCCCGGCTCCCGTCCTCGCACCACCGCGCTCGGCACCGGGAAAACCCCAACCGAAATACGTT